AGACTACTCGCAGGACGTGAGGGGCGATAATATCAAATTGAAGTGCATTTTCTGCAGTGAATTGTTTTGCAGTTAATCTATATATAAATAAAACTCAATCTCTGTAAATTTGTTCGTATGTAAGTATGTGGCTTATAGACTCCTTTGTTTGCGAGCCGATGGGGCTAAAATTTGCTCCCCTATAAATGAGGCCAGGCGCAGAAGATAGGCTACTTTTTGCGACGATTCACTGAGCCCTTTAATCGATTTATTGATTTTACTCACGTGTAAGGAAATAAACTTATCAATCATTCCCTGATCATAGTTGGGTAAGCGGGTCGGTAAAGATCATTTACATTTTGCGGCGAGGAGGAACCAGTTCTTCAGCGGGATATGTCGCGGAAGCGCTTCTGCAAACATAGATAAGGAAGATGAGTCTTGAGGCTTTTGGATCCTATTGCCTTCCACCGAGCATTAGAGCCCGCTTCCCGGACAGGACCGGGGATGCCATCTAGTTTGAAATAAATGCCTCGTCTTGTCTTCATTCTTCTGTGTTGCTATTTAAAAACGCTGGGGTGAGAGGGAGGGGGTAAAGAACGGGATGGAGGGTCGTGCTGAATTTCTACCCGGGGAGGGGGGGGGAGTATCTGGCGGTCGTATGCCACACCGTTTGCTCGACCCTGGTTTAGAGCTAAGTTGGTTTAGGGCATAAGGGTTTGGAGCTTAACTATACCGCGGGCGGAATTCCGCAGCACAAAATGGAGGGATCCGCAGAACGGATGGCCAACCCCCGCTGGGGAGACCCGGCCACCCCTCATTTTGCCCTCCGGAGGTATCCCATCGACTGTTGAGAGGAAACGAGGAAAAGAGAGTCATAATTGAAAAGCCAGGAATTGAAAAGCACCTTTCAAAAGAGTGAAGCAGTTCCAAAATATAACCCTCAGATGTGAAATGAATGAAAAAATAAATTGAAAACAACATTGTCGATCCGTCATCCATACAGCAAAAGCACCCGCATAGTAAAACATATGTCAGAAAAAGAGACATCTGCAGGAGGCTTGAAATGCCAGGCATCGCTAAGTAAAATCAGCAATACCTGGCACCAAACTTTCCAGTCTTCTCCTGGAAACAGAACTATTTGATAACTAGCAGTCTCCGCAGGGAAGTGCGGAAGCCACAACATTGTAAAATCATTGGACGTTTTTATGTATGTGGCCTATCATCTATATCTATATACATATCAGTGGCGTACCCAGGATTTCGGCTCGGGGGGGGGGGGGGGCGCGACAAAAATTTTTTTCTAAAGAAGGTGCGTGGCGTTAGCCACGCACTCCGAAAAAATTTTTGGGGTGCTTCTCAAAATTCTTCCGGGTCCCCGACCCCTAAAATCTGGAAAAAGGGGGCGTGGCGTCAGCCACGCCCCCGAAAAATTTTTTTTATAAGGCTAAAATGAATTTTTAAAAAATTTTAAAAATTATTTTAATTATTTACAAGTAAAAACAAGTCACTTGCACATTTTTATAACCCATGTAAGTAACTTTCAAAAATTTCGCGACTCGTTCTCGGGGGGGGGGCGCGCGCCCCCCCCCCCCGCCCCCCGCCTCGGTACGCCACTGCTATATATATATATATAAAACTCAATGTCTGTGAGGATGTTCGTTTAGTTGTTCGTTCGTTATAGAAACGCACGCCACTGAACCGATCCGGCTGAAACTTCGCATACGTATATTTTCGACCCCGGCGGTGGTTTAGAGCTACTTTCCGCGGCGATTCGCCGGGCCATTCTATCGATTTATTGATTTGTTTACTCAAACCTAAGAAAATGAAGGGTCATCATGGCAACCGATCATTTTTACATATAAGCATGTAAGCAGGGGGGTAAAGTCCATTTCAGCCTTAAAGTTGGTAGGGTGCGGCAATTAGTCTGAAAGCGCTTTATGCGCATGTTAGAAGAAATCTAGAGGCGTAAGTTTACAAGTTCTATTGGCTTAAACTTGAAGTCTCGGGTGAGACCGGGGCCACCAGCTAGTATATATATATATAACTCAATGTCTGTGAGGATGTTCGTTTAGTTGTTCGTTCGTTATAGAAACGCGCGCCACTAAACCGATCCGGCTGGAACTTTGCACACGTACATTTTCGACCCCGGCGGTGGTTTAGAGCTACTTTCCGCTGCAATTCAAGGGCCATTCTATCGATTTATTGATTTGTTTGCTCAAACCTAGAAAAATGAAGGGCCATCATGGCAACCGATCATTTTTACATATAAGCATTTAAGCAGGGGCGGTAAAGTCCATTTCAGTCTTAAAGTTGGTAGGGTGCGGCAATTAGTCTGAAAGCGCTTTATGAGCATATTGGAAGAAATCTAGAGGCGTAAGTTTACAAGTTCTGTGGCTTAACTAACTTGAAGTCTCGGGTGAGACCGGGGCCACCAGCTAGTAACTTATAATAATGGGCTAAGGGTGTTTACGTGACTTTGTGTGTGTGTGTCTGTCTGTCTGTAACGAAATTCATATAGCGGGTTCCCGCCAACATCCAGAGCTCAAATTTTGTATAGCGCATGCTACCAACGTAGAACTCCACCATGCAAAAGCACGAACGGATGCACTGGGTGGGTCCCTCAGAATTTGAGCATCAAACCGATCCACTTGGCTTCTGGCCCACAAAATTGGGTCCGTACCAACGCTTTTTGCAAAGCCGTGGATGTGTTCAGCAGGTTGATGTGTAAGTCATGGACTTTAGACCAAAAAGTGACCAAAGGTTTGCTACTTTACGAAAACGACGCCAAAAAGAAGTGTTCGCGTAAATGGTCAATTCGCCGTGGATTTACCTGGGCATTTGAGAAGATTTTTGCATAGAGATGTAGCTCACGGTAACTATTATCCTCATGGCGACTACCAAGCCAAAAAAGTTTCAAAACCTATTCAAACTTGCAATTGTTCTTCTGCGAAAAGTTACATCCACACGAATTCACCGATCTTTCATAAAAAAGCTTTTAGAATGAATAGTTGTTTACATTTTATTCGCGATAGTCAGCATTGCGCGGTGAGTTTCAAAGCCATTATTAGGTGAGAATAAGTAAGGCATATAGAGTAGAACCAGTGCAAGCCTCTGCGAAGCAGAGGTGACGCACTGGTGTATGATACACTTTCAAAAATTATGCACATTAGGTTGTGAAAATTTTGCTTTGCTCCATTCCTTGTAGTCAACTAGAGCTTGGAATAAGATCTCCAAAATCTGACTACTTTCTCATCAGGGAAAAAAGTTTGAAAAACCTTCTTCTTGATTGACGTGTAAATTGTAGTTCTTATTCTTTTCGTTACTCTATGAATAATTGGCTTTATCCGAAAGGCAATAGTTGTACTTAGCAGTGTCTCGGCAAATCTTCAACCTGGATATTTTCTGCTTACCGGGTTATCCGATGCGCTGCAAAAATCCAATTTGTAGAGCGCAAAAATGGTTTTAAAAAACAACGTTTGAGACCCTCCATTCTGAATACGGACGAGTGAAACATTTCCACCACGGTTGGAGAAGGAGAGTCGTTGCGGGACCCTTACGGTTATAGCATTGCCGCATGCCGCCTCCGACGGTCAGGGCCCGGCACAGATCGTCTGGAAGCAGGCTGGAATTCGTTTTTGAAGCAAAAAGCAAAGGAGATATCGTTTTTGACAAGTAGGGGCTAGTAGACCGAGCACCAAGGACAAGCGCCATCTAGTCAAACACAAGCTTTTCGGACACGCTATCCACGTTTGACATGCTATATCGTGTATGGCGAAAAGTGCGCGCGATTTGAAAGCAAGGCTAAAATGAAAAAATTGCTTGTTTACAGCGTACACAGAATATGACACCAAAATTGCACTGTATACATAGGAAATTATCTGCAAAAGATTTATGCAAAAAGATTTGAAAACTTATGTAAGGTAATACCTTTTCCAAAATTAGATCGTCCCCGAACGGCCACCAGCATATATTTCTGCCACTTCACATAAGTTTTGGATTTTCCTATCATGGACGGATTCCCCGGTCAAAAATCTATCCCTGACCATTGAGACATTTCATTTCATTGCCTTTCCTTGTTTTTTTTCTGCCTTAATTTCTTCATAAATAGCTTTGTTAATCGCGCTCCAATGCCAAACTCCTGTACATACAGTAAGTTTCGACCCGCTTCAAGCGGAAATTGGACTGGCGGAAATCCCTCTCGCAACAGCTCGCGCCGTTTCGTAGCTACAATATATCCTATCGTGCTGAGAACCCATGTCTGCGTTTCTTCAATCTCCTTAGTTTTTGCTTGGCAAAATGCCAGCGCTATGCGCTTGCGAATCCTCCAGCGATGCGCATGCTCTGCTCCACGTAAAATGTCTCGCCTAATCCGGGATGAAACCAACTGTACGCAGTGTTCAGCTCTAATTGGGATTTTTATAATTATCTTACGTTTTTTCTTTCAGATTAATAAATCTCTCTTGTTTTCATCTTCCCTTAAATAGGTAGGTCAACAAGGACTTCGTAAAACTTCCAAAAGTCTAGGGGGACTTCGTTTTCCAAAACCTTAGAAACCGACTCGTGCCGGGCCCAGCAGACGGTGGGAGGGATCGCGAGCTCGTCCGAGCGCGTGTGGGAATGACTGGGCGCACAAGTTTAAGAGCGATTTTCCTGGTAGGGTGAGGCTCTTAAGTGACCGAACGTGATTTGTTTTCACGTTTGGAAGGTAAGTAATCCACCGAGTCAAATTCTCATTATGTTCAGGTTTTGCCGAGTCACTGACTTTAATGACAGTAAAAAAAACTCGGGCAAGAGGCAAAGCAGCCAGGATGGCATATGATAGATGCAAAGGATAACAAACAATTCACCAGGCAGTTCACAACTAAGCTTGTCGTCGATTTTGATACAACAAAGATCAAATGTATCTGGAGAAGGTCATTATCATAAAATACATATAAGAATGTTCATCGTTTGGAATGCATATCCGTTGATCTCAGCAATTTCGTCTCCCTTTGTTATTAGAAAGAAGGAATTGTGCGCTTCTAGTAGAACCAAAATTTGTTCGCATCTCGACGGTATAGCTGATGAGAAAACGTCCACTTTGTAGAATTCTATAAATGTGTTGTTAGACAAAATACTAGAAGCTCTAATGAAATCTGACTTTATATTGGTTTTAGTTTCACAATCTATTCTCTTTGAAAAGATTCATGCTAACTGCAGATCAAATGTCTCTGGAGAATTAGATTTTTCACATTCATGCTTTGAATCTGTACTTCTTATCCATTCCATTTTATTCCATTATTCAAAGCGATCAAGCTTTGATGCGCAACTCACTTCCTCGCTATGGTTTCCTTTTCTGAGCCCAGATAGATTCCAATTGCTTGAAATGCTGATCTATTGTAATTTTAGGGTCTCGGATTTTTGTAGGATGGACAGGTTCGCTGACAGGCATGGATATGCATTTTGTGAAGAGCTTAGCTAGTGTCCTTGGCTTGCCAATCGCTACTAGTGATAGCCAAACGGCAATGGCAAAGCTCCTGAACGTCCAAAGATTGAAAAACTCAATTTTTTGCTGACGCTGAGGTACTCACAGCGCTATATAGATATTGATGAGTGCAGCAAAAAGTTGGCTAATCGGATGTTCTTCTTTGAAGATTGCCCAGGTTACGACTCCCATGAGCGTACCAACCGTTCCCCACATAGCATATCCGATGGAAGCGTTAAAGACAAACTGCAAATAAGAAAAATCTGTAATTTTATTTCATCGAAACAGTGAGAAAACTGCAAGTAAATTGTGGTCATGGAATAAATGAGTGCATAAGAGCTTAAAGGCTGCTGCATGACGAAGGCGCAATGGCGATTTTGGGTAAGCGTGCGCGAACGCGACGCGCGCGTATCCTCACCGTTGCAGACCCCGCACCTCATGCGCTCTGCGGCTAATAAAGCCGCGTTCGCGCCCGAAGGTATTGCGCCTTCGTCATGCAGCAGCCTATACCTACACACCTACCTTCGACACTCGAACATTCTCTTCCAGTTGAAATTTTATGCTTAGCGTATAATTTAGTATTGAGATACCAGATTCATTATCGAGATCTCGTAGTTTGGCTGTATCTCGACGATGAACAACCATCATTGCAAAGGCTGGTAACACGAAAATTAGCAATGTGATAAACAACAGGAGCACCGTCATATATAGACCTAAAAAATCGAATTTTCAATAAAGACAGTATCTGCAACTCTGTCTTGGTAGAAGTCTCTACATTTTACATTATGAAAACTTTCTTTTTCCTTCTGTACAACTCAAGTAACAACGTTTTAGGCAAAAAATGCACGGCTAACAACCACTTTGCTTTCGCGTTTGTCAAAAAATTGGAAAGTGTGCACAGTGATGAATAAAAAATGTTATGCTGGATTCATAAATTTCAATATTCTTGAGAACATGCAGATCCCATTCGGATGTTTTGTTTGGAAATCACTGCTTCTGCGTCATTGCTAATCACATCATCTCTTCCCGCTTCACTGTCTTTCTCTCCTCTACTCCATGTGCTCTCTCCAATACGCAAACACGGTGACGCACGTCAATGACTCTCGCAGCTGAGGTCAAATGCTAGATATATCTTACCTATAGCAAGTGATTGTAAGACCAGATAATATGCAGCAGCGATCACAAATGAGCTTCCATTGATTAAGTAGGAAATCCAAGCACGCTTAGCATTCTCATAGTCACGGATATAATAAGAAGCGAATACTCGTTCCACTATGGCAGCCGGAATTGTCGTGATAAGAAAGGCCATAGGGACAAATCTAACCGCAAAAAGGGTGAAAAGGGATGGGTCGAAGGCACCTGATGATGAGTTTGCTGAAGCCCTAATTTGTGCAAACAATGTTAATTTTTTAAAACACGGAGGACTTTTACAAATGCAGATGGATGGGTTGTAATTTGTTTAAAATAAACATATACAAAAGTAATCTCAAAGAGCAAAAGTACAGAATAGAATGGAGAATCTTTAGCAAATAGTACGGCTTCCTCACCGGTCTTTCTTATCAATCCTATATCGTATACCATTATCGAAATCCTTGCAATCTGAGATATCGTCATAGCAGTAAGATGCACCTGGAACTTTTATCAAAAATAGATCATCATAAGTGTTGGATAAATGCAAGAAAGCTATCTCGCAGGCTTTGACTAAAACCTCTTTTTTCGTTTGTTTTTTCAAACTACATTACACGCATTCTGTCTTCGTCGCGAAGTTAAATTCATTCTCTTTGCGCTAGGTTCTCAAAATTTTTTCATACGGTGAGCAAGGTGTTTACATTTCATTATGACCTTCTCTTAATGTCACAATGCCAATTTCGATACTTTGCTATTTATTTTTTTGATATTGGTCGTCATTTGCCGAGAAATAATTTAGAAGCTCCCTTGTAATAATGGAGAAAATATTTTGTCAATTGAAAAGAGTAATATCGTTTCCAGAATTAACGAGTTATATCATACTTCAGTAATTGCGCAGTGGAACGTTTTCTCGCTCAATATTTTACAACTCCTGTTGCAGCTCAGTATCAGATCGCTACGAGGTCAAACCACAAGTTAAGTCAAAAATAAGTCGCTACTGATTCATGTAACTTTAGATAATCCTCGAAATTTTCCATTCACAGTAAAAAGCTCGATCACATAAAAACAGCAAATCTTGTTCAGAGCAGTTATGTTTGTGTCTTTCGAAACCAACCTTTCGGAGGCTTTCGGATTTTTCCGAAAGCCCTTATTTCCATTACGTTAAAAAATGCAACCACGTTTTGGACAGCCCGGAAAAGTTGCAGTGCCATCCCCAATGCCAATCACCTGACCTCCTTGACCAAATCGAAATTTATTCTTCCTCAACATCTGTGGCCCTTATAAGCTGTTTGTTCCTGTTGAAGGTAAAAGACTAATTTAGTCTATCTTACTATAACAGTATTTTCTGTACTCACGCAGGCTGCACACGTTTACGTGTATGAAATAAAGATAAAGATAAACCCTATAAAATCTATGGAGTAGGAAGCTTCGAAAATTGTTAAAATATCAATCAATTTTGTCACTGCTACAACACGAATGTGCTGGACATGCTTTTCTGTACAATAATCAGAGAGTAGCGCACATGCAGAAACATTTACCGAAAAATAATGAAAAATAATCCAGCCATTAACAAGATAGATAAACAGCAAGAGGTAAGACATTGGAAATTGCAATATTTTATAACATTTTGAAGAGGTGATCATAGAACCAATGTAGCACTACTAAACTCGGTCCGCTATTTACTCTTCTAAGAGTGGAAACATCTATACTAAAACCCAAGAAAATGATTTTTCAAAGGCGATAAAGTTCGAGTAAAAAGTGATTTGAGTTTCCTGCAATGGAAAGAAGTCACCTGAATTATCCGTATAAGATTCCTATGAAAAAATCGCAACGTATTCTTCATAGCAATAATTAACAAAATTGACCCAGGCAGCATAACAACTATGGAAACCAGTTCTAACACGTACAATAATCGGAATGAGGGCCATGAATCTAGCGTTTCCTTCGTTGGAAATACAGCGGGAACAAAAAGTGAAATCCCATTTCCTAAGAGGAACAACATGGAATTGTGCAGATATCAGTGGATTGTTTATCCTTTGGCGCTGTTTACGATAGAATGAATATTCGTAAAAGGCAGATGTTATCGCACATATTATAAAGTATCACGCATGAGTACCCCGGAAACGTAGAGGGTGTCACTAAGCGGAAGCTACAGTGAGACATATGTCATAGATTGTTATAATTCTGATGGAGCGAAAAAAAAGAGTTCCACCGAAATCACCTTGGACTGAGCAAAATCTTCATCTGGACTGTCGTACATTTCTTGCTGGCAAGACTGAATTTGAAGGCTGGCATACCCTCTACAAAAAGAAAGTACTCGCAAACTTTTTTCAAACAAATGAGTATTAAACTAGCCACCGAGTCCATGAAACCCAGAAGACGGATGAAGACAAGGTCTGTGCCGCCGCTGATGCCTGCATACCTTCGATAGTCTAGAGATAGGGCCTCAAAAGTGAAGGTTGTTTGATTACCTGCCTCTCACAAAAACTGAAGGTTGTTCATACACAACCAAAAAAGAAAAAAGATGAAACAATTAGTAAAAGCAAAACAAACCATTAAAAAGGGGTAGGGGAACGAAAGCCGCCAGTTCGAGCTGCCTGCCCCGTCCAACTGGTCCTTTCGCAGTGCTGTTGCATGTCGTTTCAGGACCAGTAGACCGCGGAGGCGGCCCAGATGGCGGCTTTCGTTCCCCTACCATTGAAAAGCGGAAAAACCCTGCAATAAGTTCGAAACCTTTCCTTGGCAGCATTTCGAGTTACAGGTTTCCGCTCCAGGACCGGGTAATCCGCAACACGGGAAAAACGAGTAACAGCTAATTTTTCCTTGTGTTTATCCCAGAAGCAACCATGTTTCGGAAGTAATGACTATCGAGAGAAGGTAAACAAGGAAAGAATCAGTTTCGAAAACACAGAGTTTTGTTCTTACCAAGTCGAAATGCATGTCAAAGCCAACCTTGTTTTTGGTGCGTCCTTTAGATTTTTACCCTCGCGTTGTCGTTCTTGTTTTCTGGAACGTTGTCTAAATTGTTGCCCTCATTATTCTGAGCCATAATCACCCATGATGGAAAAAAATCGCTAAAACACTGAAAGAGAACAAAGTAATAAACGCACTTTGCAATTTCCACAAAGATTCCACCATGTCGAAGTATAAGCGTTGGGTGATTGTCTACATTGTAAACAGAAGCGAGATCTATAGCAAGCACGAAAAAACCGCGCGAAAGAAGTTAGACTAAGGGAAAAACAAGAGGTTTTCGAGAACACAATTTTTGCCACATTCCTCGTTCAAATCAAAGAACGTTTTTGGGACGCTGTCAGCGGGAGAGTAGAGATCAAGAGCATTAAATAATATACAGTTTGCTAGAATTGGGTTCAGCACATCGAGGAAAAAGGTGCCAGAGTCAAATGCCTGTGCCCCGCAATGGCGACGGGGCATTCGGCTCTGGTCGTAGATGTTCGCGGGGTTCTGATGAAACCCTGCAACATCATATATCATTTTGATCGTCATCAGGACGAGGAGCAATGACAACGTCCCAAGCGTTGAAAATCACTCATTGGTGAAATAGACCAGCACTTTCGTGACTTTGGCGATTCTCTGCGCAAGACTTAAGCGCAGTTTCTTCTATTTAACTTTCAACAGCTTCCTTTAAACTTCCGAAGCAAAATTTTAGTCAAGAGGTTAAATGAGAAATATTGTCTTGAATTCTTGAGAAACATTTACGGAAACTTCCTAGTTAGCGTAAAAAAGACTATAAAACGCAAATTCTTGTTCGGTAAGGTAAATCAAAGATATTATTCCCTATAGCTGCTTCATTCACAGTTCCGATATACTAAGGATTATAACATTCGGGGCGAAGCCTCGAATGACTTCTGTTTTTTTATTGGTGAAGGTTGTGCTCTATCATGGTGCTCAAAGTGAAGGTTACCAGAGTAAATGACTCTATGTATCGAGGGTATGGATGCCTGTAAACAAGGCGTTTACAGCCAAGATGACTGCCGCTCTTGAATTTTGAAACGCAGACAAATTCGGAGGCGGTCATAGACATGCATTTTGAAAAGAGCGTTGGAAGGGTCCGCGGACCAAGCGAAGCGATAGCCAAATAGTAGCAAAGAATTGCCTCAATGCCACGGGTACAAGACCCAAGACGGGTCTTGTACCATCGTTTTTTTTTCCAAATTCGACCAGCCTGAAGCAAAAAAATCTGCGATCAAAGGACCCTCTATCATGCTAATCCTTAACTAAGAAAACTGTGTGAAAAAGCAACAATTTCACGAGGTACATGGAAAAAGTTGGGTTTTTACTCGTTAGGGTAATAGATGGCGATATTCGGGAAATGCAGATCTGTAATTTCCTGAAATTAGACCCATAGAATTAGGTAGATAATGAGGGCATGAAGCTGACTGACTCTGTTCCTCCTTAAAAACTGGGAAAGTTGTGATTCCCAAGAAGATACCAACCGTATCTCAAACAGCGTTGAGAACAAACTGCAAAAAGCGAAGAAACAAAAAGAAGAGGTAAAGTAGACAGTAAATGGAAGTTTCTATTGCCTTCGAGATTCGAGCATTCTCTTCCACTTCGCATTCATACTCATCGCTTAATAGTATTAAGAGACTAGATTCATTATAAAGGCGTTGTAGTTGGCTGTATCTCGGCGATAAACGCTGTTTATGACTGATTGGTCATTCATAAAAAGCAGACACATAGAGCGTGAACAAACGCATGAGTACTCTGAAAAGAAAAGAGACGTCGCTAGTTAGGAAGCTATAATGATTACACTCTTGGTGAATTAGGTTGATAAGAAGTTGTTGTTGTCGGTCGGTTGTGGTCCTTTTTATAAATGGACTTTGAGTCAGTATAAATCCTTTTTGAAACGATTTTTTAATAAAAAAAATTCTACCTGCGAAAAGCAAATCTGGCCAGAGACAACTTTTGTACAATCTTTTGCGGCCTCATAATCAGAATCTTTTGCAAGCTCCACGTCGAGAGAGCACCACTCACTCTGAAAATACAGGAGGATGACCAAGCTTTGTTTCTTGCGTATACGATGGTTGTTCTTTCATTCTTCAGTTTCCCTTTAGGGTTTTCCTTTGTGGTGGTCAGCTCAAATTTCTTAATTTTTTTGAGAGAAGATGTTGCAAGAAAGTCAATACTACCTACCTTTTTGGTCTTCTGGCGAGTGGAAAAATCTGCCTTTCTTGAAATATTTTCCTGTTTTATATGTCCAACAGATGGTAATAATTAGGTTATTGCTTGCTGTACAGTTGAGGTTTAGTTGTTTGAGTAAGATTTTTACACGCATAGAATGATTAGCTAACTTTGCAATAGTATTTCTCAACTTAAGGAAATTTCAACAAAGAGCAGCATTTTATGGGAAACGTAGAACTATCCAATCCTTCTTATATTTTGAACTGATTCTGGAATTACATACTTATTGATTTATGACAAAAAGAGTGGGAAGAATGAACCTTGAGATTCTTGCACATTTGGAGGCATAAACAGAACTATGAATGAACAAAGTTCTACGAAACCGAAGGCACATGCAAGAAACTGAAAGGAATGCTTCCAGAGGGTAAATTCTACCTCATCGAACCTTTGATTCGTATTCATCAACGTACCTCAAGCTAAATTCTACCTTTGCCGGGCTATGCACTGACGTTTATTATAAACACGCAATGGCGTCCGGTGCATGAATTTTCTTATTGCCTATAGAACTCTTGCTAGGACAAAATTTATTGTTATATTTGTGTCCTCCGACCCGAGCTGACATGTTTGACAAGGAAACGGGTCGAACCTTACATGTTCGAACACGATAAAATGAGAAGGTCTCATGTCTTAACAGGTCGAAAGGGAGTTTGTGTTTTCTTCCATTTTCTTCTCTCAAGCTACATATTTCGCAAAGCGTGGGTTTGCACCTCATTTTCGAAATTTGTAAGGGGAGGACATCAAGTTGCAGTGGCCTCGAAAAATATGTACGGGGTGTCCGGTGTCCCAAAGTCCCTAAGCCCAACTTTGCGACACCGCAACTTTTTAGATATTCTTCTCATTCGGACCAATTTTGCAAGTGGGTTTGTCGCAGAGATGACATTACTTCATAAAACAAATTTGGTATTCGCATTGTGCATTCCCAGGTGACATTTTTCGAGAAAAAAAGAACTACGGCTTTGAGGTTAAGCCAAATGAAGAGGACCTATTGCTCAAATGTGCACAATCTTGATGTTGTCTTGATGTTTTCGCTTATCTTTAATTATATAAAACACCGGTTTCTCTTCATCAAAGAATTATAGAATCAAAACATAGATTCTTGAAATGGTCCTGCCACTGGGAAGAAAAAACTTTTCAGATGCAAAAACCCAAAAAAGCTGAAACGTGATACCTTCAGTGTGAGTCGCAGATTTCGTTTATGAGGCTTGTTTTCTACCAAAACATCGTTGGATACACGCGCCGGTCACACCATAATTATTGTTTTTATTGTGCTTAAGAAGATTACCCTCAATATCAACCCATATGTCTTCCCTCAACATGAAGTGGAATATGAAGGTTGGTGAGGCGCCGCCTCGCTCCGGGCTTGCGCCACGTTGCGGGCGCATCGTTTGACGCGACGTGGCGCTCAAAATAACGTGGTGCAGGCAGGGTCAAGCGTGTTGATGCGATCCGGGACCCTCATTTACGAACCCCCCCCCCCTTGAAGGTACCCATCCGTACGACCCCCCCTCCCCCCCCCCCTTCCCCATCCTCCCTCATCTATCCCGCTTACCTCCCCTGCCCACATTCCTCGCGGTAACCTGCATAAACGAACGTCAATCTCAAAAAACACTTGCGTGAGAACTTCAGTGACGCTTCGGAAGCAGAATTTCTAGGCCAATGGGTGCGCCCAGCATCTGTAGCATACATACACGTCTTCAATAATGTTTGAGATTCTGCAAGTTTTTTTTGAATTTTGAGGCATACCTCAGACCAGCAAATTCGACTCCCGTATGCTACATAAATTTTTGCACGGATGACATTCTTGAACTACAACAGATGTTTATGACTAAGAAGCTTACTTCCTACCTCTTCAGCAGTTTTTCCCGCGAAAAAAACCGCTTTAGCGCCGTCCAGAACGATGTCAAAAACGTGCATGAGCACGGTAGTTTGAAAATTCGTAACTAAAGGCAGGAAAAGAAGACTGAGGCCCGTATGCACGTACATCCCCGCGGGGAGGGGATGTGCGCTTAACCATTGAAATGATCCCCGCTGGGGATCCCTTCCCCTCGCCGCGCGAAC